TGTGTGCGTGTGTTTGTGTGTGTGTTGTCATATTCGCTATACACTCAAAGGCATGAATGTGTGTATGTGCGTGTGTGTGTGTGTGTGTGTGTGTGTGTGTGTGTGTGTGTGTGTGTGCGTGTGCGCCTGTATAACGTGGCCAATCTCTCTTCCAATGAAAAATGACAAAGTTTCTCTTTTCTTCAGAAAAACGAACAGAAATATTTCCAATTTCCTAAACATGACTGGGATAGCATCCCTCTCTCTCTCTCCTTTGACTCCTTCCTTTACGCCATCTAAGAACTTACTCTCCTAGAACTCCCATCGCTTTGCCCATATCCGCTCCTGGCGACCTGGTCTCCTCCGTGGTAATCCTCCCACAAATCCACAGCTTTGACGTGTTGGAATTCCACCTCTCTCTCTCTCTCTCTCTCTCTCTCTCTCTCTCTCTCTCTCTCTCTCTCTCTCTCTCGCTCGCTCGCTCGCTCTCTCCACGCACACACACACACGCGCAGACACACGAACACGGGGCAAACGCACACGCGTTCACAGATACACCAGACCTCGCGGCCCCTCCCCTACAACAGGCCCCAATGACGTGCCAATTATTGAATCACTTGCCGGTCCTTCACAGAACAAGGAGACAGTAGTCCTCCCGACATTCTCTCATTCAGGCTTTTAATTCACCACCCTATCACCATTATCACCACCACCACCACCCGCCATGGCACGAGCGTAACCCCAAAGCGGCCACTCGTTCAAGCCCCGTATTTCGGCGTAACCAATGCCGTGCCATTTATTGAATCACTTGCCGGTCCTTCCGAGAACAAGGAGGCAGTCGTCCTCCCTTCATTCTCTCATTCAGGCTTTTAATTCACCACCCTATCATCTTCATCACCGCCACCATCATCGCCACCAACAGCCCCCATGGCACGACCGTGACCCCAACGCACTCAAGAGTCGAACGCCGGCGCAAGCTCAACGGGCATCATCATTACGTTCGATTGTATCACACACAGACTCACCTGTGCCACAACTCACCACAGCAGCAGAAGGAGAATACAGTGTGAGTTGGTACTTACGCGAAGGAGAATGCAGAAGGAAAGTTGTCCCACCACAGGTCACCACCGGCGCCTATACTCAACTCGGAGCCACGCCTTAAACACGAGTTAAGCCACCAGTTAACTCTCTATTAAACCAGAACGGTAATCTGCACTGGCTATTTCCCATACGGTAATCTGCACTGGCCATTTCCCATTTCCAAAGCCAGCCCGCGCGATCAGTACTGGGAACAGCAGCTGCTCATTCAGGCCAGCCATACTCATACACTTTCTAAAATGAATCTAACTGCAATTACGGTCAGACGTGAATGCATCCGACCGTAATCACGTCCACAGCTCACTAAAAACATTCGCGTGTGAGCAATCCCGTAAGACCGAGGGCAATTTTGATTGGCCCGTCCACTATGACGAGAGAGAGAGAGAGAGAGAGAGAGAGAGAGAGAGAGAGAGAGAGAGAGAGAGAGAGAGAGATGTGGCCTAATCACCAATATCGGACCCCCTAAATCAAACTGCGACACTCCCCGGAAAAAAAAAAAAACACCATACACCACCCGAAGAAAAAAAGACGCTACACTCGATCCGACGACAAAACAAAAATCCTCGACCGCAAACCGAATCCCCCGGAAAAGGAAAAGCTGAAAAAGAGAGAAATCGGGGGGGAAAAAAAAAAAGAACCCCCTAGACAGACTGACGACTTAACTAGACTGGAACGCTATCCTTAACTTTGATGCCGACCTGAGCCGGATCCCAAGACAACCCAAAGAATGAATGACCGCAAAAGTAACCTCCGCAAAGGAACGAGCTGACGCAGAAAACACAAAACACAAGACTACAGTAACTCGTTGCGCTCAATCCTTTTCTCCCCTTTCCCCCTCCCTCTCACGTTTCTCTCCTGTACTCTGTTGTGACCCTTCTGCCCTTTTCCCCCCTCCTAGATGACGGTACGTTCCTCTCTCCTCTACTCAATGACTCTCCCTCCCCCTCCTGCCCCCCCCCCCCCTCTCCGCAACCCCCCCCCCCCCCAAAAATTTCCCCCCCCCCCCCCCCCCCCCCCCCCCCCCCCCCCCCCCCCCTAAAATTTGCCCCTCCCTCCCCCCCCCTCCCTCTCCCCGCCAGACCCCCTCGCCTCCTAGATAACAGTACCATGATAGATACTCGCATTCTTGAGAATGACGACAATACCGTCCCTAATATAGTACCCCTGGGCCGTCATCTCCGCCTCCTTTACCCCCTTCTCGTTCGTGATCCGACAGTTTCTTCCGATGCGTGCGTTCTTGTCAATTATGCAATTCCTGAGAACCGTGTTCTCTCCCACGCCAATGGGCACTCTGCCCGAGGCTAACAACGCGGCACGTTCGGCGTCCGTTTCGTAGTAATCAGCTCCCATCATCATCGTGTCGGCAATATCGACGCCTTGTTCGACTCGCGACCTCAGGCCGATGATGGAGTGCTTGACAGCGCACGAACGCAAAAAGCACCCATGAGAGATGATCGAATCCTTAACCCGGCACTTCTCAATCTTGGAGGGGGGCAGGTTACGCGGCGAGGTGTAGATGGGCTTCTGCGCATCGTAGAAGCTGAAGCGCGCAGGGTGGCGGGTCAAGCCGAGGTTCGCCTCAAAGAAGGACCTCATGGTCCCAATATCTTCCCAGTAGTCGTTGAAGAGATACGCCTGCACGTTGAACTCGCCGGCAGAAGACGGAATGATCTCGGAGCCGAAGTCGTTGGCGTGGGGGTACCTGGACCGAAGGAGCTCGATGAGGGTCTTCTTCTTGAAGACGTAAATTCCCATGGAGGCGATGTACGGTTTCTCCTTGGCCTCAGCCGCCGACAATCCGAGAATCGTGGTGTCCACCGCCATGGCAGCCAGCTCCTGACCCTTGGGCTTCTCCGCGAACGACACCACCCTTCCCTTGTCGTCAGTCTTCATCAATCCGTAGTCCGACGCCCGGCTGTCGTCTATCGGCAATACCGAGATCGTGATATCAGCCCCGGTATCCTTGTGCCTCTGCACGAAATCCATGTAATCCATTCGGTACAAGTGATCCCCTGACAGAATCAGTATGTCTTCGACGTCCCTGTGCGACAGGTCTTGCTCCAGCAACCACAGATACTGCCGCACGGCGTCGGCAGTTCCCTGGAACCATTCCTGACCGCCCTCCCCTGGAGTCTGCGTCGCGGCCAACACCTCGACGAACCCATCAGCGAACGTAATGCCCCCCGAGTTGTACGTCTTCGCCAGGTGCCGATTCAGCGACGTGGAGTTGAATTGTGTCAGAATGAAGATCTTCTTGATCCCGCAGTTGATGCAGTTGCTCATCGGCACGTCGATCAACCTGTAGGCTCCGCCGATGGGCACGGCGGGCTTGGCGCGATGCCTCGTGAGAGGGTACAATCGCGTCCCGGCGCCGCCGCCCAAGATGACAGAGATCACATTACGCGGCAGCGCCCTCTCCCTCAACTGGATGACATGGGTTAATTCCTCCTCAGGGGTCGTCCTCTTCGCCATGTCGGCCAACACCGCGTTCACCTCCATCTTGCCGCGACCCTTCCGCGCCGCCGGCGGGCCCCGGTCACTGCCAGGTCTGGCTGGCGGCTCCGCTGCGCATAGGACGGTCGCCATCTCCAGAGGCAACTTCTCGCCCGATGGCGACTTAAAAGAAGCCGCGCCGGGGATACCCGCGGCGCCGAACATCTGTCCGCGGAAGAACCCCGCCCCCTCCGCGCTCCCCCCGCCAGCCACGAAAGCCTCCCGCGCGCTAATCAGATCGCGAGAGGCTCTGGAGACAGACTGAGGCACGAGTGCAGAACTCCACCCCGCGGCCGACGAAGGAGCCCTGGCCGCACTCTTCACCATAGCCGCTGATGCAGTCACAGCGTGGGTGGGGACTGGTCCAGAAGGACGGAGCGAGAAAGAGGTAGAGCCGTCTGCTACCACAGGCATCGGCAGTGCATGTGCCATCGCGGCTGCCATATCTCTCACCTCGTCAAACCGACTGCTTTTCTCCACCCGGCGCTAAACCCGGCGCCTGTTTGCTGCGTCGAGCAAGAAACGAAGGACGGACGGATATGGACAGGCTAAATATAGCAAGGAGGCGATAGACCACCACCAAGACCGGTAGCAGGGAAGAGGGGAGAGGGAGGTGGGGGGCAAGAGGGTGGGAACGAGAAAACGAGAGGACAGCATAGGCCAGAAGGACAGCAGGTCGAGTACCCAGCACACAGCAAGCAAGAGAACCGAGCAGTTCCCTGCGCGCTTCAAACGAAGACGTGGCTGGCGACGGAGCCAGAGTAGTGGGTGCGTTCTATGCCCGCTGCTGCCAGCTCGTCGCCGCGCCAATTGCGCGAGATGGCTTGCTATGACAATGTGTCTCCCGCCCATATATATTTTGTATACCCACGTATGTATGTATATGCATACATATATACCGGGCCACGCTGACCCGCTGGTGCCTGCCTGATCACTGCGCGCACGCAGCTGGCTGGCTAGCTACTGCATGGCCCTCCCGCCCCAACCTCTTTCCCGCGTCTGAAATCAACAAACATCAACAACATTGGTCAATTCCAACTGGTAATCGAGACTATCCCTGGCAGTCCACCCCTCCCTCACGCACACTGGGCCTCGCTCCACTACTCTCAAAAAAATGTGCAAAAAAAACGAGAGTGAATCTTCCCGCCCCGCCTGAACATGTACATGTACACCGCCTCGATCTTTTTTTTTTTTTTGGAAACCGCCTTGATTTTTGTCTTCTGTGCATGTCGAGAGTAGTTGGTGCGGCGAGGCCTCCCCTCCCCTAACTGTTTCATGGAGCGGTTGGGTCGACAGCGGCGTTTTATACTCGTGACAATCGATCGAATCAAAACCGGTCACACAACGCCTTGCGTTACAGCTAGTCTGTTTCCCCGAACACAACAAATCCTCATTTTGGCTGCACCGGACCGGAGAGATAGCTTGTGTACATTCGTTATCAGGGGTGCATTGTGTTCGGGGCAAGACGGTACCTAACACTACACCGAGCTCGGCTTCCAGGACAGGATAGAGGACGACGGGGCGGGAGGTAGGGGCAAAGGCAACGTCTTACACCCAGCTACACCGAGCTTGGATTGGAATCCAGGGATAGAGAGAAAGGCAGAGGGGGGGGGGATGGGGAAGGGGCGATGTTGACTTGATGAGGGAGCCGTGGGAGGGGGAGGGGAGCAAAAAAAGGGTACCATAGCAGTCGGCGGGAGATGGACGGCCAGCCGGACGTAACGACGGTGCATATTGGCCGTTTGCCTTGACAACTGTCAATCAACGCCCTCGGCACAGGTGATTGGGAGCCTTGCTCCACAACTGTCCGCATGCACAAAAGACAAAAGATATGGAGGTGCATCTTCCCAGGTTCTAGCAGATGATTCAGTCTCATTTTGCACACATTTGGAGACCAGTGGAGCGAGGCCCTCGGCCACGATTGCGCGCGGTGTGTCTCTCTTTTCGACTCAGGATTCCGCGCTCTCTGCCTCTCTTTTTCGTCTCTCGGCGGGAGTCGAGGAAATACCTATACCAGCCATGCAGCCTAGCTCCACTACGTACCAACATGTGCGAAATGAGAATGAATCTTTCGCTGGAACGTGGAAAGATGCGCCGCCATAATTTTTGTCTTCTGTGCGTGTGGTGATTAGTGGAGCGAGGGCCATTCACCAGGCGTGGCATGTGTAACGGGCGGTGAAGTCACCGGTGGAGAGATCCGCCCCGACGCTCGGATCCGCTCGTCCACTCTGCTGTTCTGTCTATCCCGACCATTCTAGGGCAGGATATTTTGCAGACCGCGCTCACAACTGGTGGTCTTCGCACGAGGGCATACAGGGATGCCTCGACGTAAAATTGGTACATCTAGGGCCTCGCTGCACTACTCTTGAACTTGAACTGCACAAAAGACAAAAATCATGGCCGTGTATCTTTCCATATTCTAGCTGAAGATTCACTCTCGTTTTGCACATTTCGAGAGTAGTGCAGCGAGGCCCCTAGCCTTACCAACAGGGCTGCCTACCTCTGCTACTGCTACTGCTACTTCCTGTTTGGGATCATCGCTGGTTTCCTTCACCCCCTGCTGTACGGTAGTCCTCTGCTGCTCCCCCATGCATGAAATGAAGGTTTTTTTTTTTTTTTTTTTTTTTACAAAGAAATGCAGTTGTTGGTTGCCCCGCGTTTTCTTTTCCTTTCTTTTCCTTGTTTTCCATGTATTTATTTGGTGGCTATGGGCCGCGCTCCACTACAAAGTGATGAAGAAAAAAGAAAAGTGTGCAAAATGAGTGAGAACGAATCTTCTCCTAGGACAAACATGGCAGTTGTGGAAGCCAGGCCTTTTGCCCTCTCTGTGGGACTCGCTCCACTCCTCAACACTCTATACGCATTTGGACACCTTTCTGGACCAGGTGCGTTTCGAGGAGTCCAATATCTGCAATGTATCGGGGGCGGTTATGAGCACGAGATGCACATCGAGTGTTGTGTAGTGCAGCTAGGCCTTATGGAGAGTTTCAATTCATTTCTTCTTTATAAAGGTAAGCACACATTTTTTTCTTTTCTTTTCTTTTTTTAAAAAACTATACTCTTCTCTCAATTTTTCGTCACACTACCTACCTACCACTACTCCTACCTATAGGCATACGGGGAAACCCGTAGCATACCAGAGCCGTGTTTTTACGGCCCCTCGAGCCTGCAGGATACCGGCCAGGGGACGRSCGGTAGCACCAGGGATAAAGCGGACCAATCCCCCGTGCCTCCCCTCAGGCCCCTCCCCTACGAACATAGCAGACTCTGCTTGATGCCGATCGGGGGATCCAGTGGTCTATCTCTTGGGTAGCSGGTGCCAAGTAAGCCCAGGAAGGCATGAGCCCAATGGGGATTGAACCCATGACCTCCTGAATGCCACTTGGGAGCCTTACCAACTGAGCACACATTTATCCTTTGTGTCTCTTTGTTTCAAAAATTCGCAGAAAACAAACGCATAGCACCTTTAGAGCATAACTGGCGGGGATGTTTTGTTCAAAAAAAAAAAAAAAAAAAAAAAAAAAAAAGAGCATACCTACTCACACTACGGTAGGCTGTCGAAATCACAGAATAGCAAAATGAGCAGCCAGATCGAGTTCTTCCACTAGGAGGACTGGATCAGGCCACTGATTTTGGGAGTCTGCGAATTTGAGTGCCTACCCGTAGTGTGAGTCTGCCCTTATTCTTTGAAAAATAAAGAAAACATTTATTCTTTTTAGCAAAGATAAGCCTATGAAATGAAAAGAATATTCTATCACCATCAATCTGTTTGGACCCATGTCAATCTATCCTCTACCGGCTTACACCCATGCCTCATGGGTGCGTGCCCAGTCAGGAGGACCACTGTCTTGCTCTCAACACAGGGCACCCTCATCATGACTGTGGGCCTGGCTCCACTACTCACCAAATGTGCAAAATGAGAATGAATCAACCGTTAGAACATATCAAAAGATACAATGCCATTTGTTTTTGTCATTTCTGCATGTGGTGAGTAGACGAGTGACCCCCTGTATTAGGTCGGAAAGATAGCTTGTACACATTAAATTTTATGGCTAGGGTGAGTCCTGTTACAGCGGAAGAGGGTAGGCTTGCTGCTCCTAGCAGCAGCCGAAAAAGAACTCACCACCTCGAGATATATTTGGATTTTTAGAATTCACTCGGCAATGATTGATAGGCTGGTAGAGTTGGTTTCAACCCCCTTTTTTCGCTTTGGAGAGCTGTCTTTGAGGGACACTGGACCCGAGGCAAGGTCCCACTTGCACGGATTACGAGATCCTGGCCGTTGATCTTTGCTATCTACGGTCAATATGGCTTAATTCGTATAAGTGAGACCTAGCCCCCGGTTTCCAGAGTCTAAGGGCCTGGTTGCACTACTCTCCATATGCCAAGTTTGGCGAGTAGGATCCTGGTTGCACTTACTCGCCAAACTAAATTTGGCGAGTGAAAAATATGTCAGACTGCTCGCCACAACTTTCTTTGAGGGACACTGGACCCGTTTTCCAGAGTCTAAAGGGCCTGGTTGCACTTACTCGCCAAACTAAATTCGGCGAGTGAAAAATATGTCAGACTGCTCGCCACAAGGTAGACACAAGTTGTGGCGAGTGTTTTCGGTTTCCCCGCCTGTGCACGGCGGTTTGTGGAGGGTGGTCCTCAGACCTCTCCACAAAACAACTTTCTGGAGGGTGCACAGCTTCCGGAGTGGAGATCAGGCAGACAAAAAAATATAGGAAGGTAGTGAGAGGCAAAAAGAATTTGAGAGAAGAACATAGTGTAGTTAAAAAAGAAAAAAAATAACTTTTCTGTAGAAGAAATAAAGTGCAACCAGGCCTCCGGTCCGATACGATTCTCCATTTTTTCACTCTCCACCCATCCGCCACGAATTGTGGTGGATGGCGAGTAGTGCAACTAGGCCCTAAGCGGAGTAATGGCCTCAGTACACTATGGGCTTGAGATGTGGGGTGATTCCTTGGCCCCTGAGGTTTTCCTCCTGCAATGCAAGTAAATAGGTTTTCCAAAGAAGAAAAGAAAGTACTCACCACCTACCCATCACTCTATGGGCCTGGCTCACTGCTCACCAGATGTGCAAAATGTGAATGAATCTTCCCCTAGAGTATGGGAAGATGCACCGCCATATTTTTTTGTCTTTTGAGCCTGTGGTGGAGCAGGACCTGTGTGAAGAGAGATATAGGGCTTCACTCCACTGCACAACACTGTACATGCATTCAGTCGCTTTCTGGACCCGATGCATCCAGACAAGTCCAATAGTATCACGTCCAGAAAGCGACCAAATGAGTGTACAGTGTTGTGTAGTGGAGTGAGGCCCACATTCCAAAGCAGCGGTTTGCTCTCTGGAACCATTCCACTTCTCCTTGTCCAACAACATCACCCCAGAATGAAAACAGTGGCACGTAACGTAAAACTTGTGTTTATAGGGCCTTGCTCCACTACTCTCCATATGCATAAAAGACAAAAAATATGCCGGTGTATCTTCCCGTGTTCTAGCGGAAGATTTCATTTTCATTTTGCACATTTGGTGACTAGTGGAGCTAGGCCCAGATGTTCATAGAGAACTCCCGGGTGAACCGTAGGCAGAGAGGGAGAAGGCCAATGAAAGACCAATGGGCCTAGCTCAGTTGGTACAGTCATGAACTGTTGAGATACAGGCCTGAGTGCAATTAAAAAAGGAAAGAGGAGTTAATGGGGCAGACTGCGTGAAGGGCTGCGGGTATAAATAGTAGGCTACGTGCAACAGTGGGGGCATCACAGATTCACAGGTAGTCTGTGATGCGCTACCTCACA